AATCTTTCCACATTACTTTTAAAAATCTTTTCATAATTTTTAAAAATCTTTCATGTTGATTATTCAATGGACTAAACAGATTAGGAAATGAAATAACCATGAAATACTTAAGACAGTTAAGGAAAAACAGGAAAACTGACTAACTCATAAACACCACAATTGATAACTAAAATAAAAATCAACAGTAAAATTAGAAATAAGAGAACAGACCTGCCCCCTTTTAATTGGCCTTTCTTTTGGTGACTCTTCTTTTGCTGTGTTTGTATCCCCAACATTATCAGTGTATTCCCAGACCACAAAATCTTTCTCAACGTCTTTAAGGTTGAAGTTCGTAAGTTTGTTTAATGAGAATCCTTCAATCTAGGAAAAAGTAGACATCTATTATTATAAGGTAGAAACCATTTTTGTATTGATTTGAGCATTTAATATGTTTGAAGAAATGAAAAAAGTTAATATATTCCAAGTTCACTGAAAATATAAAAGATATTGTTTGTGGAATATTTTTAAGATAAACATAAATTTAAAAATATTTTTAGCTGGGTTCTGTGGTACATGCCTGTAATCCCAGCCATTTAGGGAGGCTGAGGCAGGAGGATTGTAAGCCAGCCTCAGCAACTTAGCAAGGTCCTAGGCAACTTAGTGAGACCTTGTCTCAAAATAAAAATTAAAAAGGGCTGGAGATGTTGCTTAGTGTTTAAGCAACCCTGGATTCAATGTCCAGCACCAAAAAATGAAACAAAACAAAACCCAACAACAACAAAATCTGCAATCAAAGTAAAAAAGAAGATTCTGATGATTCTGATTTGCAAAAGAAATGGCAAATTTTTGCTCTACCACTAACTACACCTTCAACCCTTTATAATTCTTTAGTAAATATTCTGAATTGAGGATGTACTTTGGTGGTAAAGCACTTCCATAGCAAAGCCTTTGGTTCAATCCCCAGCACTGTAAAACAAAACAAAACCAAACCGAAAAGTTACAACAACAAAATTTCTGAGAAGGCAACAGGGCATAGTGACTAAAGCCATGAGTTTTGGAGTAAAACTCAGTGGTCCCAAATCTTGGATCCTCCAGGCACCTACTCTCTTTAGGTCTCAATTTCTAGTAAAATGGGATAGCACTAGAACTTCCTTCATGGGACAGCTCTGATATATATGCCGCATGTAGAAATACTCAATAAATCCAAGAAACTGTCATTATCAGTATTGTAGAGATATAATTATAAAAACTAAATTCTCCTAATTAGAATTTTTCTTTTTTCATAGTACTAGGAATTGAACCCAGGGGATTTCTACCACTGAACGGTATTATCGATCTTTTTGTTTTTCTTTTGAGATACAGTATCCCTAAGTTGCCTAGCCTGGCCTGAACTTGCAATCCACAAGTCTTTGCCTACCTAGTAGGTAGGATTACAGGCATAGGCCATTGTGCCTGGCTGGAAACTATTTCCAATATTTTAAATTCTAGTTAAGCCCAAAGGTTTCAAAATACAGTTTAATGTGGTATTAATGAATGCAAAAGAAAATGGTCTGGGCTCCAAAGTTCTGAGAAATATTAACAGAGTTGAACAGGTCTTTTTTTAATTATATAATGGACTCATTACATAATAAACAGGTTAGTGAACATAATAAATTGTGAGATGAGGTAAGGATAAGGTTTTCCAAATTTATTTCTACCCCAAAGAGTGATCCCTCTGAAACATAAGACATCGTGTCACACTCTTCTGCTCATTGTGGTTTCCTTCTTATTTCAGAGAAAATTCAGTCCTTCCAGGGTCTATGTAATCTGGCTCTTGGCTGTTTCTCAGAACCATAGTCTATCCTTCTGATTTGGAACTAACATCTGCTCTTCCCTCTGCCTGGAATACTCTTCCTGCTATCAGTCAATTATATGGCTCAACTTCCACATCTTATTTAGACTCTGCTCTACTAATTTTTTTTCTAGTATCTTCCTGCTTTTCACTCTTAATTCAATGCCCATTATGATTAACTTCAATTGTATCAAGATCTAATAACAATACAATGGGAAATCTGACTGGGAGTAAAAGATTTGGAGATTATCCTAGCCAAGGTGGAAGAGATCTGAGTACAACTGGGCAGAGAGGCTAAAAACCTCAAGAAAGATAAATCAGAGCACAGGGGCACAATATACTAAATTTCCTGATAAGAGAATTTAGTCTTGTTCATTTTTATATTCTCTTCAAGGCCTGGTACAATGACTAGTGTACATAAGTACTTTAATTGTGAGGACCTTGAAGGAGTTTCTGCAGAAGTGATGTAGGTGAAATATCTGGTAAGAATAATATTAATTCCTTTCCCCCTCATTTGCTTTATTTACTTTTCTTGATTAAGCTTCTGGCAGCAGCCACTAAACCAATGCCTGTATAGTTTATAACCTGCAGATCATTTTGGTTCATTAAGTAGATTTTTTGGTTCATTAAGTAGATTATTTGATCCATAGAGTCAACCCAGTGTTTGATCATCATGTATCTGTTTTTGTCATTAAGTCTTGGGAAAAAAGTTAAATGATACAATCAAAATAAATTCAGAGTTGCTTCAGAGAGTTTCCAGTTTCACTGCAAAGGAAATTATACATTGGCCTTGGAATAAAGTATTCATACTACTCTTAAGGAAGAGAAACAGCTTTTGTCCTACATCCTCACATCACTGACAAATGATTATTTAGAGAGGATCAGTACACATGAAAAGGCAGCTCTTACTCAGTAAGACATTTATGTGCAAAGCCAAATATCCAATTTATTTCCAGGCCCTTTTGGGTCCAACTGTTTTGGTCCCATCCTAAACTCCACTCTCTCTTGGGACAAGATGAAAGGAAAACTTCAAACAGTTTACCAAATTCCTTCTAGGGTGTGGATGACTTTGTTCTCTTGTTCTTTTTGGAAGGAGAGTAATCTGGCGGAGATACCCTCTTGGTAGCCCTGAATCCTTTCTTCTCAGTGTCATAGCTACAAAGAGTTACCATTAGACAACTAAGATATAGAGCATACTTTAATCCCTTGTGTCAGGATAAAGTTTGCAAGTAGTTTATTCTACTTCAGTTTTTTATTACTGAAGCCTGCTAGACAAAGTCTCCACTTAATTCTGTTTATTAAATATAAAGAAAAAAATGTCTAAAATCACACACACACACACACACACACACACACAAATATGCCTACAGATAAGAACTACCACTCTAGAACATACTTTGTGTGTGTGTGTGGGGGGGGGGAGTACTAGGGATTGAACCCAGGGACACTTTACCACTGAGCAAGATCCTTAGCCCTTTTATTTATTTATTTTTTAAATTATGAGAAAGGATTTAAATTGCCCAGGCTGGCCTCCAACTTGTGATTTTCCTGCCTTATCCTCCTGAGTTGCTAGGATTACAGGCATGTGATACCATGGCCAACTGAACATCTTCTTCAAGAGAAGACTGTGTGCTATTAAGTAAGACAAAAAGCAGTGAAAATATTCAATGTGTAAAAGTAAGCTTTTCAGTAAATAAGGCTTTCTATAAAATACCTACACACATAAGAATATACCAAGATAAACATGTAGAGATTAAAAATGGTTCCAGAAGCAATAGCATAATTTTGACCTTTCAGTGGCTTCTTATTAGACTTATTAAACAAATCAACTCAATTGTTTTTTATGGTTTTTTTCTACATTTTTTTATTGGTGCATTATAGTTGTATATAACTGGGATTTGTTGTTATGTATTTGCACACGCATATAATATAACAACGTAATTTGGCTAATGTCATTCTTTAGTATTTCCCCTTCCCACCCCCTGGTCCCTTTCCTCTACTCTGATTTCCCTTTGATTTTCATACGACTTCCTTACCCCCACTTTTCTTTTCCTTTTTCCTCTCTAGCTTCCACACATGAGAGATCACATACAACCCTTGACCTTCTGAGTTTGGTTTATTTTGCTTAATATAATGTTCTCACGTTCCATTCATATCCAGCAAATGACAAATTTTATTTATCCTTATGGTGGAATAAAATGCCATTGTGTATAAATACCACATTTTCTTTATCTATTCATCTGCTGATGGACACTTAGGCTGGTTCAGTAGTTTGGGCAAATATAAATTGTGCTGCTATAGACATGAGTGTGCATGTATTACTATAGTATAATGACTTCAATTCTCTAGGATAAGTACTAAAGAGTGGTATAGCTAGTCACACTGTGGTTCCATTACTAGTCTTTTGAGAAACCTCTAGACAAATTTCCATAGTGGTTCAAATAAACTCAACTTTAATTTTTTTCAGGTCTTGCTAAGTTGTCTAGGGTAGTCTTTAACTCATCATTCTCCTGCCTCAGCCTCCTCAACTTTAATTTATCCAGATTACATTATTATTGTTTTTTAAAAATATTTTTTAGTTGTCAGTGGAGCTTTTTATTTTATTTATTTATATGCGGCACTGAGAATTGAATCTAGTGCCTTACACATGCTAGGCAAGCACTCTACCACTGAGCCACCACTCCAGCCCCTCCAGATTACATTATTAAAGTCTAATTCACCTTAAAGATAAAACCAAAATATTATTGAAGAGTTGACTATAAGCTCTGCATCTTGTATAGTTAGTAATCTTGATGCTTTTATTGTTTTACAGGTCATGGGATATAAAGAGAAGCAAAAAACCAGAAATAGAAAGTAAGCTACACTGGTCATGGTAGTATATGCATGTAGACTCAGTTACTCAGGAAGCTAAGCCAAGAGGGTCATTTGAGCCTAGGATTTTGAGGTTAGCCTAGGCAACATAGCAAAAATTCATATTCATTCATTCATTCATTCATTCATTCATTCATGTATACGTACATGAATTGAAGTCCATTTCAGAGAGACAAATGCTTCATATACTGTCTGAAGATGATATATAAGTTTAAGTATCGAATTAGAGTGCTGTACCCAAAGAATGTGTCAAAAGATAAACTTAACATAGATTCAAAGTCTCTTGTTTGAAATCTTCAGGTCCACAGGTGTTTCAAAAACTAAGATTTATAGGCTAAAAATGTAGTAATACCCCTAGCAAGGTATAGATCGGCATCTTGTAATCATATTAACATTTCAGCAATGAAAGATGTGAATACCAGTAAAACAAACAAATCTATTTTACTTCTGGTTAGCTTTTTAAATTTTGAAATTATGCATAAGGAATTGTAGATCTATAATCAATCAATCGGATATATAAGCAAAAAAGTTTCATACCCATGAGCCTAGATAAACTGGCAGAAGAGGTTCTTTCCTCTGTTGAAGAAAATAAATGGCCATAAGGGCAAACACGTAAGGTGGCAGGCCTCCTTCCTCAGGGCGATCTATACTGCAAAGCTATAAGTGAGAGAAAAGAGAATTTGCATTTTTTTTTTTTTGCATCAATTTGTGATTTAAATAACTTGGCCTAAAACCTGCAACCCATTCCCATATTGTAATGGTTAATTAGAATTGTCAACTTGATTGGATTAAGAGAAACCAGAAGGTGTGTTGATGACAGTGTGTCTAGGAATAACTGGCATGTGGAACAGCCAAATAAAATGGAGACCCTCCCTAAGTGAGGGCAGCACCATACAATAAAATGATGGTTTGGATGAAATAAAAGATGGAAGAACATGACAGCAACAGCAGATACAAGCTTGATTTTTCATGATCGAGTTCTTGACTGCAGCCGTGATTGATGATATGGGGCTCTCACTTTTTCACTCTTCCAAAGTGGATTCTGTCAGTGATTCTCCAGAAGCCTTCAGTCTCAGCTTGGGATAGCACTTGTTCTGGGGCTTCAGCTCCTTGGACTGAGCAGTTGCTGGTTCTTCCAGCTCTCTGCCTGTAGATGACCACTGTGGACTATCTAGCTTTTGGTCGCCTGAGAAATTCTCTTTTTGTAATTATACTTCCTGCTGATTCTGTTCCTCTAGGGAACCCTGACTAATACACATATATTATATGATATATAGTGATTATTCTGAATAAAGCAGCACAATAAAGGGCAGGGGTATAGCTCAGTGGTAAAGCACTTGTCCAGCATGTATAAGGCTCAAGATTTGATCACCAACTCCACAAACAAACCAAAAAACAAAGCAACAACAATCCCTCCCCCCCAGCAAAGTGATACAAATAGACAACTTCCTATTCCTTTGCAGTAACCACATACTGTGGTTTTGAAAGAGTTTCAATTTCAAATATTTAATCTTGTTAACTTACTCATGGAAGGCCCTAAAATACTATTTACTGTTTCATTTTTTTGACATCTACAATAAATCCACTCACTTAGTTAAGACACATGTTAATGAAATACAAATGATCGTTCAGTTCCAACTGATTTTGCTTAGCTTAAGGGTCCTCTCAACTTTTACAGTCCTGCAAATGCATGCTTTGGTCACAAAGGCAATTTGGGGAGAGAATGTTGGCAAACCCATCAGTACTAATTAAAATAACACCTAAAAGAGCATGGCCTACATAGTGATGAAGCAGAAGAGAGTTTTCAAAGAGGAGCATATTGTAATTATTAATTCATCCAGCAAGAGTGGGGTATCCTGTGTTGATCCTGGATCCAAGAAATTGGAACTATCTCTTATCACTGTTATACCTCAATCAGTAAGATTTTTGCTTTTCTTTATATAAGGCACCTTATAGAATATCAATTTTATCATTATGATCTGACCTTATACTATGGGGGAATATTAAGTGCTCTAATGATTATTACAGCATATCAACTGGGAGAATGTATTTAAAACATTGTAGATATAGGCAAGACCAGATATAGTATTTTTCATTTCTTTATGTAATCCTTGGATTTCTTCTTGAAAATGGTTATGAGAATTATTTTCTAAAACTTTACAGTGCCTAAGTATTACCCTGGGAAACTAGTTAAGATTGTAAATTCTTTGACTACATCCTTTGGGATTTGACCCAAATCTGACTTCTAATAAGCATTATAAGTCATTTTGATCTTTTAAGCAATACTGTTGTAATGAAACAGAAACCTTAAATTTTCCTTCTGTATAGTGTTTCTATTCCAATATTCAGATACTTTCTCTTTTGATGTCTATAGGTATTTTTCTAAACATTTAAGGTTAAATGAACCCAGTAAAAATTAAAGCGCAGTTAAGTTCACAGAATACACACATGCATTTAATGAAGTCTAACTTACCTTTGCCCAGTACCTAAATGCAATCACCAAAGGAACCAGCTTTGGTTCTAGTTTTCCGAGTGCAGTTAAGTGCTTTGTTGTCAGACAAGCATTTTCATTTCCTGCACTCACTTTACAAAGAAGACCACTGGTGGGTGTGCCGGTGAAGTTGGGAATGAAAAAGAAAGAGAAAAAGGTGTGTTACATAGGTATCAGTACATTTTTACACCAGTAGCTAATTTACACTGATAATAACTTTTTTAAAAAATGGAAAAAAAAACCCCTAAAACTCCCTACATCTTCATAGGTCATTTAAAAATACTGAATTAAAAAAAAAAAAAAAAAAAAAAAGACACGACAGTTACTTATTGAACAAACTATATTTTCAGAAGAACTCTGTTTTAATATGCTAAAATTATTTTGGGGGGGAACATGCAAATAAGGAAAATATTATGAAATATTTCAAATGGGAGCATGACTTGTCTCATTTTTTCAAATGGTGTTTTTACAAGAGTTAAGGAATCTGTTGGTGAAGAGTCATTATTGCTTATAAGCCACCCATTCATGGTAGTGATAGTTATGTTTCCAGATGGAGGGAGACCTATACAGGGGAGGTCACATTAACAGCTATTCAGCACTGCCACAAATGCTGGTAAAAAGGATGGCAAGTAAAAAGTGATTAAAGCAAGTAACCATTTGATAAGGTTGTTTTTTTACTTAGTTAAAATGGGTCAAATGCTTCCTTATAATTTTTCCCTCTAGGTAATTTTACTCTTTTTAAAATAAGATTTCTTTCCCTCTCTTGCATCAAATGCCAAAGTATAGACAGAATGCTAGTAAGAAACATGAGATAACCATATAAGGTATAGCTTATAACTTCAAAGTTGGAATTAAGATTTAGCAAAGTCCTTGTGCTTTTGGCAAGCTGATACCTAATGATCAGCTTAAAGAAACAGAGACCTTTGCTTTTCTCTGCATACTACCACCGGTACCCTTGCATGGAAATCTGCGTCAACATCAATAAAGGAGTCTGAGGAAAGAAGAAAACACATGTTAAGTAGGTTAATTAAAGCTTTGTTACAAGCAAAATGAGATAAAGTACAAGGACCCAAGTACCATGTGTGGCTTATCTATTCAGCCATTTTGAAAGACAACTACTAAATAAAATTCTGAAGGGATTTGAAAAAAGAAAAAAAATGTTATATTCAAGAATCAAGTAATCACATTAATTTAAAATCATTATTTTATAAAGCTTATGTTTAATTAAAAGTAACTACGCCAGTGGATCACAATATTTAAATATTATGAGGGTAACCTAATTAGAAATATAGACATATGATTTAAAAACAACATTGATACAAAGGCTACTGAAATCTTCAGTGTCAAAATATGTATTGACTAAAATAAAAAAATATTTAAATGCTTTATTCAATCAAAACAAAAAGGACAGGGGATGACTACTTCAAGGGAAAATTAGTGAGGTTATGAAAGCAAAAAAAGTCATAAAGCTCTAAGTTGGATAGTATATTGGAAAAGGCAACGGATAAACTTACATGGGAACAACTATTTATGAATTCATTAATCAGGATTGGGCCACACTTACTGCACCTTTATAAAACATTAATTTGAACCACTGGATACAGTATATTATTCTTTAATTTTACTCTCAAGACTAAATTATGCATATTTTGCATTTCTTCGTCACACTCTAAGACTCATTTAAGCTTTAAAAAATTTTTCTTGTAGTTGTAGATGGACAGAACACCTTTATGTATATTATTTTTATGTACTGCTAAGGATCAAACTCAGTGCCTCACACATGGTAGGAAGTGCTCTGCCACTGAGCTACAGCCCAAGCCCTCATTTAATCTTTATAGTGATGTCATCAGCAAGCTAAAAGCTTTGAGACATAGAACTACTACTAGAATGCTAGCTAGTTAATAAATCATGGCCATTTGCTTTAATTTTTTTGCTTTGGATATTACACTTATCAATAATTTTAAGAGGGAGAGAGGAAGGGAGGGAAAGGAAAGTTACTGGGGAATGAAATTAATCAAATTATGTTATGTGCCTGTACAAATAAGGCGTAATGAATTCCACTATTATGTAGAATTATAATGTAACAAAAAAGCAAAAGAAAAAAAAACTTTAAAAGCATGAGTTTCTATTTTCAGAGTTTGAGTAATAAGTTATATAAAATTTATAGAGAAAAGAAAATATTAAGAGCAAAGTGTACAAAGCATTTGACCTTACCACTGTTCTTTAAACATTCTTGAACAATTAAGAGGACATCTGGCTGAGACATCTAGGAAATAAATGAATGAATACATGAAATAATCCCTAAATAATTTTGCTTCACGATAAAATACACAGTCTAAAGTTCCCAATATTGTTTCCCAAATTAGAAATGAACATTGGTACCAGAATAAAGAACTAATCATTATGCAGTGTCTATGTACGTCAAAGACAGAAAGACAGATGAAAACCAAATGAGGATGAGTGTGGGCAAGAGACCTACTATACATTTAATTTGTGGTTAATTAATTCTTGAGGTAATTAGCTTTTTAGAAAATCTCAAAGTGGTAGCTGGAAGTTGTTACACTACTAATGACATTTCCTCTCACTCTGTAAGACTATTACAACAGATAGCTTACTGGTTCCAACTCTAAATCTTGTTCCACAGTGGAATCAAAACCATTAAAAATCATGAACTGGATTCTTAAAACGTATCAATGACTTTTCACTGACTGTAGATCAAAGTAAAATTCTTACCATGGCCTATGAGATCCTGCATATGGGGCTTCAGCCTACCTTCCATCCTAATCAGAGTTCAGCTTAAATGTTCCCTCTTCAATGAGGCCTCCATGACTGTGGCATCTCTTCACAGTTCCTGTTTTCTGTTATTGAACCCTATTTTTCTGCACAACTCTCATTATAATTAATAATATAAGTAACTACTTATCTCCTTAACTAGATATGTGTTCTGTGAAAGAGAAACTGCATTTGTTTTTTCCTTTAGAATCGAGTATAGTACCTGCCATACAACAGGTATTTAGTGAATATTTGTTAAATGAATGAATGAATGATGTCAGAACAAAATAACTGCTATGGTTAGTAATTTCACTGATCAGAATTTAAGATTAAAAGAAGAGCAAAATCCACTGGTTAGCTGACTAAGTAACTACATTACTCAGAGCAAGGAACAAGAGGCTATAAAATAGAATATCTGGGGGTGGAATCTCAGAGTCTATACTTTTAATGAGTAACCAAAGTAGGATACACCTTCTGCAAACTGACCTATGAGAATGACGAAGTGGGTAAGCAGATAATCTACTTAAGTTCCTTCCAGTTTTAAAATTCTGACTGTCAATGTCTTTTTGAATTACATTTAACCCAGAAATCGAGGCTGGGTGTGGTTGTTCAAAAAAAAAAAAACAATATTTTAACAAAATTGATATATAAAAATAGGAAATTCGGAGGCTCATTAAGCTTTCAGATCATAAATGTTTAAAAATCTACACTGTTTAAAACCTGAATTCTTTTCCTATTAATGGAAAGTTGATTTTACCAAGAATTTAAGCTTTCCAAGCTAACAGAAACCTAAATATCCCCATAAGATTCACATGGTTAGAAAACCAGTGTTACAAGTAAGTATGAAAGATCTGTAGTGTAAAATAAACAAGATTGAAAATCTATGGAGCATAAGAATTCTCTGAACCTGAAGCTGAAAACAGGCAAGACATAAAAATGGAACTTTTAAGAAAATAGGTGTCACCATTAAAGTATCTTTACGTATCTAAAATATATTCACACACAGTTCAATTTGAAATAAAGACAATTTGAAAGAAAGAATTTCCATACCACTGAAAATTTCAACATTTCATTTTGTACTTACAATGGCTGGAAATTGAATGTCAATGTTTACATCCGAATTTTTGAAACCCAATCTGCTACAGGAAGACCCATATAATCTTAGAGAACAATCTACAAATAAATAAATACATAGAAGGCATAAATAGAGTAAAATTTCTCAAAAAGTTGTAACAAAACACTGCTATTTCAGAAATGAACCATCAATTAAAACTACATACAAAAGCAAAACTGTAATGTATGTCACCAACAAAGGACAGGAATAGGTGGCTATTTGCTCATCCCTTAATTTTATGTAACAGGGAAGACAGCAATGACTGGTTTGGTTTAATGACTATTGATCTCAAGTCAGTTGCAAAACACTTTAAATAAAAATTTTTATTTTATCACTCTTGCATTTTGTGTAGAAAACTATTGGCAATAATTTTCAAAATAAGAAAGCTGAAAAGGGATGTCTATTTTACACTTATAAACTTTATAGTATAGTCAAGAGCTAATGCAAATATTTTTTGTTACTTATTTTATAATACAAATTACTCACAAACAAAAAGTATTTGATATAATGCAATCCCTTGAGAAAAACTTGCAAAATAATTACAATATAACCGATATCTTAATATGCTAGGCAGTATACATTTCCTTTTCAGAGGAGGATATAAGTGTTAACATGTGTATCTTCCATATGTATTTATGGAATTTATTTTCAATATTTTACTATTTTTGCCAAAATATTACCCATTCTTATCAAGAGGACATTTTCTTCCTTCAAGTTTGCCAATTCAAATGATTTCTTTGGGGTTTAAGATGCATATTTTTTTCTTCAGATGGGGACTTACTATGTTGTCCAGTTTGGACTCAAACTCCTGCCTTAGCCTCCTAAGTGCTGGGACTACAGTTGTGAACCATCATACCTGGCTTCAAGAGTTTTCTATTAACAAATCAGGTGTGATAGTCCATGTCTACAATCCCAGTGACTCAGGAGGTTGACACAGGAGGATAAGGAGGCCAGTGTGAGCAACTTAATAATATCCTGCCTCAAAATAAATAAATAGATAGATAGATAGATAGAGCTGGGAATGTAGATCAGTGGTAGAGCACTTGCCTAGCACATGGTTTAATCCCCTAGGTTTAATCCCCCAGTTCTGCAAAAATTGATAAATAGGAGTTTTCTATAAAAAAGTTTAATTTTACATGGAATTTCATAGCAAAAATCAGTGAAATTAAAATTTACTATTTGGGAAATACCTATGTATTGAAATGAGTTGAACTTCCCTCCTATTCTTGTAAAAATTATATGTATATGTATCCATGTATACATGTTATAAATACTTGCATGATCTCCAGGAACAAATAGTTTAAAGAATTATAAGGTGATATATACATAAATAATGAGTCTAGCCCTGTGAATCAGAATCACTTGTGAAATTTTCTAAAAGTAATTGTCCATGACTCCACAGATAATTCTTATTTATGGCAAAATTGAGGATGATTAAGCTATTCCAATCATTTATCTAAATAGGAAGGCCAATGACCTTTCATTGGCAAGGGTTGTTCCTATCAAGACTAGCAGCTGCAGTGTCAAGCATTTACCATACCCAGCCTTAAATTTTTATAAGCAGTTTACTCCAAACATTGTATTCCCTCCCCTATTTTGCACTAAAGTCTACATGAAAAATAATGCAAGTCAGTGGTGTGTGCCCGTAGTTCCAGCTACTCAGGAGGCCGAGGCAAGAGGATCATTTGAGTCCAGGAGTTCAAGGTGAGCTTGGGTGACACAGTGAGACCTCTGTCTCAAAAAATTAAAATAAAAATAGATATAATTTCAAAATATCAACTGAACAGCACACAAAACCCATTATAAAATTATTTATAAACTAGTTTTTCAAAGCTCTTTTAGATCCTCCTGACTCAGCCTACTGAGCTGCTGGGATTATTTGCACCATTGTGCCCAGCTATTTTAATTAAAAAGTATTCTGTCAATTCAGATGGAAAGGTAAACAAATACATACAAGAGTCCCACAGTGCCCCAATATAGGGCAATTAACCATATTGAATTTTATAAGAGAATAATATTTATAATGAAAACAGGTTCACAGTGGCAATGAATGTTTAAAGTCTGTTACCTTTGGAGAAGCCAGGAGAAATAACAACCAAACACAACAACAACAAACATACTCACTAAGGAAAAAAGCTTCAGTACATAACAAATGAATTTTATGAGGTGAAAATTACTTGAAATATGAACGAGTTACTTTTAAGTAGCTAAGTAGAAAAAAGAAATCTAGAAAATACCTGGTAACTTGTGCTGGAACACATTTTCCATGATACATTTGATTTCTAGCCTCTGTTCCAAATTCTCATTGTGTAAGCCAAACTCCTGTACCACTTTGTCAATGGCAATGCCAATTGCATTTATCTGGGAGGGTGTTGGCGGGGGTAACGTAGTGAGCAACTCTTCCTCCTGCTTCTCCTTTTAGGATCAATGTTCAAATTAAAAATGGCTCATACATAGGTTTTACCTTTTATGTTTCACTGAGACAACACCCTATAGAATTTTCAGGAATCTGTTTTTAGCCCTCCTTTTCATCTTAGCTGTGTTTGTCTTTATTGTAACAAACATATACACACTTTATGCATATAATTTGGATCAGTGACAATAGAGAGTAAGCAGGAACAAGGAGAAAGTGTAAGAAAAGAGCATTAAAACCAGTAATGACAGTCTGATTATTTTTTTTATTACTGTCATAAGGACACATATAGGTCCTAACTGTGATTTCCTATACCCTGATTTTATACTTAAGGAAATTCAAAAGACTGCCCAGAAAACACATCTGATTAATTAAAAGTATTTTGGTTAAAACAATTTCAAGAAGTTAATTAAAGTTATTAATATTCATAGCTTTAAGGAGAAGAAAAATGACAATGACAACTGATAGGTAAAAACAACAGTTTGGGTCACATAAAACTTACCTTAATGTTTTTCTTGTGCCTCTTCTCTTTGATATGCTTATGAGCAAATGCAATGGATTCAATTAAAACATCACAGAGTTTGCAGGTGTATTTTGCTGTAGGGCAGTTTCGTGGTCGCTATAATTTAAACAGATTAATCAAAAGGTATATCTCCAAACATCCAGGGGAAAAAAAATAAGCCAGAAAAATGATTTCCCCTTCAGTTTAAAAACCGACACTATGTTACTGTCTTGCTTTATCACTATCTTAATAGTAATTTTTAATTAAGTACAATTGCAACTATTTGGAATTCTATTGCCTCATAATGAATATACTTTTCAATGTGTAATACTTAAATACTGATAATCCAAGTAGTATACCTCAAAAGGGAGGTAGGCTTATTTGTATGATGGGCAGGTCCTAGGACTTCAGAACATGTGAAAAAAAGTTTTAACCCCCAGAAGGAAATAAAATCACTGAATTACAAGGGGAACTTTTTGACAATGCAAAGTGCCACAACAGGGTACAATAATTATCCCAAAAGATTCCTCAGGACAAAAGAAGACTACCTAGAGAAGTTAGGAAGTGATTAGAGGAGAAGCCTGATCCTAAAGTATTTCTTACAGGATGGGGCTGAGGAAGGAGAGATTTAAGGGAGGAGGTTTCATGGTATAGCAAGTTCATTAGTATATTTTCAGAATAATATGCCTGTTAAAAATAAACACTTGTTATTTTAACTTTAAAAAAGTAGGGTTCCGAATTCATCAAAGCTGGTATTTCCAATTACTAACACAGTTTAAACCAGAACAAGGATTTTTATTAGCAAATACATGCTCATAGCTGTTACCCTTTTTAGTCTGTCAATGCAGTCTCTCCTCAAACGCTCCTCAGCCTGCTGTAAGCCCAGTAGCTCCTTTGTCGAAAGCACAGACTCGTCAATCACAGGGCCTTCCAACTCTCCATCCTGTTCATTTTCCTCATTTCTAGTCCTCCTTGGTTTCCTGGGTCTGGACCGCTGCTTCTTGTTTTCTTAAGTTAGGGGAAAAATATTATTGGCAATATTGAATTATACCTCTTCTGGATAAAAAGCAGAATTTACCTATTTATTAATTAAATGGCATGACAGAATAAATCACATCTGAACACAGAGCAAAGGGAAAGGTGGATCTCCATGGACAAAATGTTTGAATAATCACTAAGCACATCATCTGTGATATACCAATCCACAGAAATACCATAACTTCAAAGGAATTCTGCTGGAATGAAGAAAACTGTCATATGTTTTTATGAATATGTCAAAACAAACCTTACTATTAATTAAGTGCACTAACAATAAAAAGAAGAAACAAGAAGGAAAAAAAAAATTTATCCAGGCATAGTGGCACACGCCTGTAATCCCAATGGCTCGGCTCTGGAGGCTGATGCAGGAAGATTGTGAGTTCAAAGCCAGCCTCAGCAACTTATCAAGGTGCTAAGCAACTCAGTGAGACCCTGTCTCTAAATAAAATACAAAATAGGGCTGGGGATGTGGCTTAGTGGTTGAGTGCCGCTCAGTTCAATCCCTGGCACCAAAAAAAAAAGGAAAGAATTCTGCTTTGATAATACAATTTGATTTTCTTTCTTCCCGATATGCTGCTGAGCATTCTAAATCAAGAGTAAAAATTATCCTCTGATGGCAAGTATATATGTAATTCTAATATATTCCATATTAGAATTTTCTAATATACTAACATATATAATCTACATTATACCTAATATTTTATTATACTTGTTACTACATCTGTAGTAATGAAAACTTCCCACGTTTGCTTTTATTTTTTAAGTGACCAATCTTAATAGTGTGAAGTGGACACTATTGTATACTTCTCAAGAATTCAGAAATCCTTATGAGCAGTGAAAAAAAAATCATTTAGTTGTAAATTAAGCCTTTCAAGACATAAAATTGGGGTCTACCAGAAATGGGAAGAAATATAAAATTTCATCTGCTGAGGGCACCATTTCCCATTTTATTTTTACTTTCATTTTAGATTTTTTGAGCCACCTGCACACCTAGCATATCAAAGGAAAAAACAATTGGTAGTTAAAATAAAGGCTTTTTTCTAAGCAAAAATTTATCTGCTTATAAACTCCTGCTGTTACTTCTATAATTTCTAGAATAAATGAATCAGTTCTTTTTTTTTAAGTTTACAACTTTCAACCTGTGAAAGAGAAGATGGTGGTGAGACTGAACCATAAACACTGTTTTAAGTACATCTGTGACTTCTAACAATAAGTTGAGAAAAATAAAGTTATTAATAATATGACTAAAATTTGTTTTCCAAATTAAAATTCTGTTAAGTGGATGGAATCATGTGCAATGGTTTAATACAAATTACTTTTTGGAAATATAAACCTACTGCCCAGCATGAGGCAAATTCCTCTCAATTTTTCAGAACTCATTAACTCATTACTAGTGAGCAAATTACAATGAATTAACTAATTGTAAAAAAATTCAGTGTCAATGGAAGTATAGGACCTCCAGTTTTCAAAAAGGCTATTTTGAGGCTGGGGAATGTAGCTCAGTGGTACAGCACCTGCCTAGTATGCATGAGGCCATGGGTTCAATCCACAGCATGGAAAAACACACAAAACTATAGCTAAGAACTCTAACACACAAATAGTAAGCAATATGCTCAATACACATGAGATGAATGTAATGAAATTTGACAAAAAGCTTCTATAATAAGTGAAAGTTTTTTAAAAACTAAACAATATTAGGGAAAAATGCACTTAAAAAAATCAAAATGGACTGAGCAGCAGGGCACTATGGCTCATGCCTAAAATCCCAGCAATTTGGGAGGCTAAGACAGGGGGATCCCAAGTTCAAGGCCAGCCTTAGCAACTCTGTGAAACCCTGTCAATCAATCAACCAATAAATGGGTTGGGGATGCAGCTCAGTGGTAAAGTGACCCTGGGTTCAATTCTTTTTCTTTTTTTGGTGGTGCTGGCGATCTCCTGGGCTTAATTCTTAAAAAAAAAAAAAAAAAAAAAAGACTGAGCAAATAAAACATCAAAAGATTAATAGTATTTGACTAGGAAATCATCAGGCTACCTCAATACTTCTTCCCCCAATTATCACAAACTTTTAAAGCCAGTAGTACTTATTGTCTTAATAAATTTTTGAGATGACCATCCCTTAACTTAAAAATGTGTTCATTCTCATTTAATTATTATTAGTTTAATCTTTATTTATTTTATTAGTATCTTTTTCTAAATAAATACATTTGACTTCAGTGTTCAGAACATGACAGAAACTTCTTACTTAGGCAAATACTCAAAAAAGAGTTTCAACATGTGCAACACCTTTTTAGAAAAGTCTCATATTCACAACAGTAATTGATATGTAACCAAGTTCCTTCATTAACTTCCTTTCTCTTGTTGACAAAAGCTTTCCCATATAACTATTTGCTGTCATTTTCTAAGGATTGACATCTCTCACCAAAGACCATGATTAACTCCAATTACTTTTATCTGTAGCATGGCTACAGAAATTCTGCCAGATGACGATAACAGTAGCTACCATTACTATTTTATTATGTGGCAGATGTAAAGCAAGCATTTTCTGTGTGCTGCTCTCGTTTAATCCCTACAGTAATCCTGACACGGATATTAATATTTTCCCCATTGTACAGATGGGGACAATGCCAGTCCAAGAGAATTAATAATCTGTTCAAGGATACGGGACAAAGTCAAAGGAAAGGGATTTGAAATACAGATTAAAATATGGATGGATCCTGAAATTCGGCCTTTCATCTTGAAACAGAAAAAATAAAAATTACTACAAAATCTCTTTGAGGCACATACAGACTCACATCTAGAACAGACTAGAAACTGATAGCAGTATAACCTCCTGAACTAAATCTCACAGGCCTGCAGGTATAAACTGTCAAAATCTCATTGGAGGGATTCTTAGAAGGTATAACTGGGTATTGCTAAAAAATTCCCATAATGGAGGAAGACCATCTAGCTCATTCCAAATTTATTGTAATAAGAGATCTCTATATTTAGTATTTGAATTTTCCCAGATTTTATTTGAATATGGTCCATTAGCCCATTCACAAAGGACATGTGTATCTGAGTGGATGTTTTCCAGCTAAAATAATTAATGGCATTTTCCCAAATATGTTAAATTGCAACCTAGGACATTTAAGAGATGAGGTAGAAACAGTAATGTAAACTGATAAACAGAAAAGATGGTATTAAAAAAAAGTAACATTATTTTCATTATATTTTCTCACAGTTTCAATAAGATCCTTCTATTAAGACACATTTTGATTTAAGGACATTTTGATCCCTTTAATGAGATCCTTTTTAGGATCCTTTAAATGAAGAGCAAAGTTTAGATATTAAACTGAATAACAGTTATTCAATTTGAACAACTTCCTTAGTTATTCCTAACACCAAATAAGAATACATGAACTACTTTTTGGGTCTCCAAATGGCACCTTGTATTGTCTAGCTGCAAATTTTTGATCTGTAAACCTTCATTTTTAAATGCTTTTCAACTTTTTCTTTTATAAAAGACAAGCATTGATAATTAAATTTAATGTCCACATTCCACATGGACACTGCAATACATAAATACAAATATACAATATAAAAAAGAAAAACAAAAACTAGAAGCCCAGAAATTATCAATAAATGTTCAGTTTCCCTATTTGGATTCTGGGTCTAGTGAGAATTACTTAATGGCCAGGGCGACGGAGTCCCCACTACTGTTCTACTTCCTCATCTACCACTTTGAATAAACAAGTGTGGATAAATTTAAACTCTCCAAACTGCAACTGCCTAATTTGTAAAACTGTGATTCCACCTTTGTTGTATCATAACAGTGCTCCATCAGAAAATTCCTTCAAGTTCTTTTCAGGCTTAACGACATGTAACGCTAAGGTATTACCTCTACCTATTATTTTAATTCTTTTATAATCTTGCATTCTGTCTCTGCTCCTTGATGTTAGCATTAATTTTAACTTTCCTTTTTCCTTTTCCCCCATTTAATATTAACAAGTGCTTGAGATTTTCACTTTGTACTAAGACTGTCTAATGATTTAAAAAAAAAAAAGAGCTTTTCCTTTTTAAGCATTCTATATGCATGAGTCCCAAATTCAAGTGCCTTGCAAGTAACACATATATGAACTGGCTACTGAGACAACATGAAGAAAGAGGCATCTGGAGACTTAGAAAAGTACCCACATTTGCCTGAATACATTTAAATTAAAAAAAAAAAAAAAGTTTAAAAAAAATTTGATTTGGACAGTTTACAATTCATTCTACATGGTCACTACAAAAGACTTTCAGCCAATAAACATAAAAGCCCATTTTTAAATACTATGTTTCATTTTTCCCATCCAATTTATGACTTCCCCTCACCTCAGTGAATATATCCATTAGATAAAAATAACCTTCCTGATTATAGAAATCATTGCTACATGGACATTATCTACCTTGAACCTTTCAGAAAAAAGTATAAATAATCACTCTGGGGTAATTATTATCAAGCATGTGAAGGCACTTAGAAATGGGTTGTTATTTACTGAAAACAAACAGCAAAGCTTTTTTCTGTATTCTGACTTTCTAAACTCATGTTTCCCAATCTCTGTTGCCATGCTTACCCTCTCACCCCTACCCCTCCATGGCCTTGCACAAGCTAGGTAAGTGTTCTACCACTGAGCTATACCCCTAGTTCCCCCCAGATGGTGACTTGCTGAATTCCCAGACTGGCCTCCAATTCTTAGGTTCAAGTGATCCTCCGTCTCCTCAGGGCTGGGACTACAGATGCATGCAACTAACTGCACCTGACAGCTCTTGAAAAACAAAAACCATGGGTTGTTCTCCTCTGGAGATTGATACTTCACCCAAAAGACAAATCCTTCTTTTGGCAGGCAATATATTCAGTCTATATTGTGTTTTCACATTGAATCTTTTTTGTTTTACTTTTATACTGTCACTTATATAATGGACATGTTCATTATTTAAATACAATTTTTTAAAAATTTTTTAGTTGTAGTTGGACACAATATCTTCATTTATTTTTATGTGGTGGTGAGGATCGAACCCAGGGCCTCGCACGTGCTAGGCGAGCACTCTAGCTCTGAGCCACAATTCCAGCCCTAAATACAAAATTATAAACATAATTTTAAAAATACATAATACCACTTAGAAATTATGCTATGGTCCCTAGGGGGATATGATACCCTCCTTCTATAAAAAACATATTTTTTACTGTATGAAAATATGTTCACTAAAGTAAAATAAGCCTTGAGGTAAAATTTTTTTTTAGTATGGGGGATTGAACCTAGAGGTGTTTCACCGCTGAGCTACATCCTCAGCCCTTTTTTTAAATTTTTTCTATTTTGAGAGAGCCAAGTTGCTAAAGGTAACCTTGAACCTGCAATCCTCCTACCTTAGTCTACCAAGTTGCTGGAATTAGCAGGCATGTGCTACACCCCCAGTGAGGTAAACTTTTGAAAGGACCAATATATGAAATGTGTTAGAGGTGCCCAAATGTCATGATTATAAACCTTAAAATAATCACATTAAATAAATTAACACTTCTGAAAACATATACTATGAAAAATTGGAAATTCACTGCTGAAAATAAAACTTATTTGGATGAAAAAGAATAAGACACTGTTGACTTTGGGCTATAACCTTACAAGTTGGAACACATTACCAGGACTTCCTGCTTCCATTTCTGACATGGCCTCTAGGCTTGTTAGGTCTTTATGAAACAGTCTTCTTACAGTTCTGCAGCCTCTTCCATCTTGCCACCTGTAACCATCTTCACTTTCTTGAAAGGCATCTTTCCTTGGTCTGCTTATGATAGGAATTCTAGGTCCAGGTTTAAACTCTCTCCAATTGTCTGAATTACCAGTAAGTTCATCAGATAGCCACCTCTTATTCTGATCTTTGTGGTTGTCATTCATCCAAGTGGGCTGACTGTAAATTGGGTTTTTAAATGCATATGGATTGCTGGAAACAGCGTATGATCCTTTTCTCGCGGTATTCCCATAGTTCCCAGGAGTTAGCTTTTTTTTCGGAAGGCCTTTTTCCATTTCACTGCTATGGCCTTTAGCATAATCATCCATTATTAAATAATCTTGTTGGGGGTGACCCCTTCTGAAATCATCATCATCAACAGGTCCTCGATCTTTACTGCGCTTCACAATATAAGGTTTTGCTGCATCTCCCATGGTCTTTGACTTCAATTTTCTTTCTTTGCACCTGAAAGAAGGCATTTCGGGAAAACAATTAAATACAACAAGATATGATACCAAGTACACAAAATGCCATATCATATTGATGCCCAAAAGTGTGTAAGAAACCTTTCCTTTTTTTCTTTTAATTAAATTTCTATCACATTCCTAATAATCAGTGCATTGCACTAGAAGTTAGGAGACATAGTCCTACAATCATGGGATTCGTACCTAGTATTTTTTGTGAAGACTAAATCTGTGAATAAGAAAAGCTCCTCTTATCCGGAAAACTATTATAGTAAAACGTTATATCACATTGGTAAGCTTTACTTATATACAAAAGCGCCTCTCTTCAAAGAAAACTTCAAAAGCAAACCTCATCCCAAGCCAATACTGCTACAGAACTCCTGAAAGTCTATTTTTTTAAGTTGGCAATTACTTTAAAGTGTTACACAAAGTAACCAAAACTTTATGTAAACAGACTACATTTCCTCTCAACTCCACTCTAGTTGCTTCATCACATTTCAGAACAGACCGGCTTTGATCTCTCGGGCTACAAGAGGGGCTGGGCTCCGGACTAATGAAAGGGACTGGGTTTCTGACCAAAGGACAACTCCAGAGAACCGTCCTATTTCTCATTCTTCAATACTAAACAAGTTTGGTTTTGTCACTAACAGCAATTCTCTAAAGAATGCCACACCTTTTCGATTCTTGTCTTGACTGCCCCACCCCGGTCTGCCTCAGTTTCCACCCCTGACCGTCCGAGATGAAAAAGTAGGAGGCGTACCCGCAGTCCCGGCCACGAAGCCACCGTGGGGACCAGGAAGCAGGAAGTGACCCGCCACTTCGATGGGATTCCGGGGTCCCCCCAGCCGCCAGGGGGCCGGGGCCGAGTGTCTCGACCCAAATCCCTTCTCCCACCCTCGCAGAGTCTGACACAAAGTGAAAAGGCGGACTCGAACCCGAGACCTCAGTTCTAGCCGGCCTGGAGGATCCCTAGACACCGAAACTGGACTAGGAGGCCGCCTCAGGATGGAGCCAACGTACCTATGGGGCCAGGCCCGACCTCTACTTTGGAGACTAAGGAACCCACGGGAGACCCAGCCAGGGGGCGAGTCTAGGAGGGACACAGGGAGAAGGCGCCCCAGAGCACTCACCACCTCCGCCGCGGTCCCCCGCCTCTTCCTGTCCCGGCTGGGCTCCCTCTCCGAGTTTTCCTTCGGTCCCACTTCCGGCGCTCAGCGCTGTCTCATTGTGCGCGATTGGGGGCCGGCTGTGCCCCCGCCCCGGCGCTCCGCCGCGCACGCCGGAAACGCGCGCCGCGCCCGGAGGGCCGCCCTCCGCCCCGCCCGCCGTCGCCCCGCTGCCGGGCCGCCCACCGTCGCCACAGCGCTCTGCCCCCGGGTATGGGTTGTCAAGGCCCAGCCCGGTTACGCCCCTCGGTGCCCGCGGGTGGTTCGCCCTCTACCCCGGCGCGCGGGCAGGGCCTTCTCCGGTGAGCAGTGCCCGGGGCTCCCCGGGTTCCCCTCTTGATTGTGGGCGCTAAAAGCTCGGGGTAGGGTGGGGGAAGCAAGGGGAGCCCAGTCTCCTGCGATCTGAGGGGAGTCGGCACTGGGGGACTCAGCTTTGCCCCTGGATGCTACTCAGTGGCTTCTGGGGGAAATTGAGCCAGCTTCTTTCTATTCCTGTTTTCCTGATAATTCAGAGTGACTTAACGTTTCCGTGAGGTCTTAATTGCCGACCTGGTAGAAAGGTCAGTTTAAGCATCTAATGTTCACCCACAGTTTAATGTGCCCCAGGGGAATGCTCTGCTCTTTCCTAAGGTTGTGACCCTAAGAGAAGATAAGAACAAAGTGAATTTTGACGAACTTGGCAGGAGAGTATGGCCAAAGCACGACCATATGTGGACATTTAAAAAGAAAGATAGCCGGGAATGGTTTACTTTTAAGAAAAGTCATTTTTAGAGAGTGAAAGTGATCAAGTTATATCTATGTATGAATATTCCACAGTGAAACCCACTATTCTGTACAATTATACACCTATTAAAAGTCGTTTTGAAAAGTATGTGTGATGGGAAAGGATGATCAGAGAGGGTCAAATTCAAACTATTTTTTTTTTTTTGATACTGGTTGAACCCAGGGACGCATACCACTGTTGAGCTACATACCCAGCAATTTTTTTTTTTTTGACCCAATTCTGCTAAATGGCCCAGCCAGCGATCCTCCTGCTTTGGCCTCCTGAACGGCTGTGATTCACAGGCCTCTGCCTCAGGGTTAGTTCAAATTCAGATTTTTGAACTGAAGAATGTACACCTTGAACTAGCAAACAACTAAGGGTTGCCTCCCCCCCCCAAAAAAAAAAAAAAATTGGTATTATCCTCCTTGCTACCTGGGATGTTCTGAGTGTTTAAAAAAAAATCAAAATTAATAGAATTAGGGAGTGCTGGGAAAATAGGACAGCTTATTTGTCCATTTTTCTAGAGCTTTTAAATTTAAACCCATGAGATTCTGTTGAGGCAAGAGTCTAAATCAGTAAAATATTGGTTATTGCCAGACATCTTTGAGAGCTTTACAAATATTAACTCATTTAATCATCCTCACAACAACTGCATTAAGAAAATATCATTATTCCCACTTTAAAGATGGGGAAACTGCTGAGTGGGGTGGGGCATGCCTGTAATCCCAGAAACATTGGAGGCTGAGGCAAGAGGATCAAATTGGAGGCCAGCCTCAACAATTTAGCAAGACCTGTCAAAAAGGGCAGAGGATATAGTTGGGGTAGAGTGTGAAGGATATGAAATATAACCGTCAAGGAGAAAGGAGGACAGTTTGTTTGGGGGATGATCTCTGAGCTCTGGACATTCATTCACCCTTTCCCAGCAACAAATTATTCAAATCTTATTTTTTGGAGGGGGGTGGATACTAGGGATTGAACTCGGGGGCATTCGATCACTGAGCCACATCTTCAGCCCTATTTTGTGTATTATTTAGAGACATGATCTAACTGAGTTGCTTAAGGTCTAGCTAAATTGTTGAGCTGACTTTGAACCTGTGATCCTCCTATCTCATCCTCCCAAGCTGCTGGGATTACAGACCTATGCCACCTTGGCTTTCAAATCTCATTTTTATGAATCAAAACTTACTCAAATCCTGTAAAAAAAAAATTAGACCCCTCCTATAATCATTTGCCATTTTTTCTTCTGAAAAAAATGTGCCATTCTGTTGCTTAATAAAGAAAGCTTGCTTTCCATTGAGATCTGGTCTCTGATTATTTTTGCTTTCCTCTGTATAAATAATAAGTAAAGATGGGGAAATTAGCACTTAATGGTGAATGAAGTAAATAGCACAACTGGAATCCAAACTCAGATTATCCTGAGATGTCTGTTCTTAACTAGGTGACTATACTATGGTGATTTTAGGCACATTCCTACAACTTTGCTGTAATTCTTTATTTAGATGTTTTGGGACTGCATGGTGGCACACACTTGTAATCCCAGCAGCTCAGGAGGCTGAGGCTGGAGGATGACAAGTTCAAAGCCAGCATCAGCAAAAGCGAGGCAGTAAACAATTCAATGAGACCCTGTCTCTAAATAAAATACAAAATAGGGCTGGGGATACAGCTCATTGATTGAATGCCCCTGAGTTTAATCCCTAGTACCAAAAAACAAAACAAATCAACCCCCCCCCCCCAAAAAAAATGTTTTGGTTTTGAAAATTCATGGGAATAAAACTAATAATCTTTTTGACCAGCAGGCAGTAGCATTTAGCATAGAGTAGGAAGGGAGTGTGGGCGATACATGATTGTATTTATTATGGGAAAATAGCATTACCAGTCAGGTTAGTACTTCCTATTTGAAAGAATTGGTTTAGGTAAGTCCATCTTGATTTCTGAACTCTAGGGAACCAAAATAGCAAACATCTTTTTAAGGATTTAGAATAGTTCATATTTGCATTTTCTTCAATGCTTTGTCCAAAGTGTAACTTCTCATATTATAAATTAGCTGACTTTAAGATTCATCTTGAGGATATAATACTAATTGAAACACTGGCAGTAGAGTTACTTTCTTGTGACCTTTTATACTGTAAGAGTAATTTAAATTGGTCAGTGGAAATCCTTAAATCTAGTTGAAAAGTTTGGAATTTTCTTTGATGTCATTGAAAGGAGGATTGAGTTTCTCAGAATGATAGCTTTTTGTTCTACAAATATTTTCAACAATTTATAGTAGAAATGTGGGGACAGAGGTTGTTCTCTGGTTGGGAGGTAGCGATACTGTTGTTACCAAAAGCATGATCATTATCCCCAATGCCAGTTCAATAAAAAGGACACAGTTTTGAGAAAAAGGAAAACATTTTGATTGCTTTGCAAGCAAAGGAGAAATATCAGGACTCCTGTCCCAGAGGCTGTGGTTCTGCCCATCTAGGGGAACAGGGATTTTTAAAGAACTGAATCAAAGGCTACTTTCCATGTGTAATTCACTTGTTAATTTGAGAGAGAGTCATTTCTTGTATTTTTTGGTGCCATCGGCAAGTCTGAATTACTTTGTTCCAGTGGTGGGTGTGTGCTCAAGGACAGATAACTGCAGAAGTGGAAGAAAGATAATCCTGTCCCATCCTGTGCCCCTCCCTGCCTTCCCAAGATTAGGGTTGGGAAGAGATTAGGGAGGAGAAGTGACTGAGAAAGGGGAAGAAACATGTTCCTTTTAAAAATAAGTTGCAATCATGAAATGGTGCAACCACTTAGGAAAATAAGCTAACAGTTTTTTGTTTTTTTTTTTAAAGATTAAATATTTACCTATCATGGGAAAAAAAAAAAAAGTTGCAGTGGCAGAGCATAAAATGAACCACTGTTACATTTCCTTATTTTGTATTTTATTTAGTGATAGGATCTCACTGAAATGCTTAGCACCTCGCCATTGCTGATGCTAGCTTCTTTGAACTCATGATCCTCCTGTCTGGCCTCCTGAGATGCTGGGATTATAGGCCTGTGCCACCTTGCCTGGCCCTTACTGTTACTTTCTACAATTCCCTTTTTATGGCAGTGACATCTCTGAGCTACTTTCTGTGTGAATTTGGGGGAAGTGACCTGAAGTTCTTGTTCTCTATCAGGTGGGACAGTTAAGTGTATATATTCAGCATCAGGGCAGACCAGAGGTCCATGGTGGCAGTTGGTAAGTGACTGGACAAAGTTTACATAGGACAAGGATCATGCTAGGACAATAATAAAGACTTCAAAGTATTATGTTTGGGTGAGCAATTAACACAAAAACAATTAGTATTTCTGCCAGTCTCTGAAAACCATAAACAAGTAACTCATAATCATGTCAATGAAAAACAGATCAAGTTTATCTATGTAGAAGGTTAAGAAGATTTGTAGGTCTATGAGATCAGGCTCAAATTGACTCAGGATATACTTGTGACTTTTGAGTCTTTCGTGATCATTATTATTAGGCATTCCCACACAAGAACCCTTCCTTTATAGCTTCCAGCTTTACTTACTTTTGGTAGCGTTGACAGAAGTGTACATCTTAAGTTACATTAAAAAAATTATCTTTCCATTTATGCATTTAGGAACCAGGGATTAAACCCAGAGGCTCTTAACTATTGAGACATATCTCCAGCCCTTTATTTTTTATTTTGAGGCAGGGTCTCACTAAGTTGCCTAGGGCCTTGCCAAATTGCTGAGGCTAGCTTTGAAATTATGATCCTCCTGTCTCAGCCTCCCAAGCTGCTAGGATTACAGGCATGTGGCACCATGCCTGGCTGTCTTTCTTTTTAAATGTCCACATATAGTCATACTTCAGTCATACTCTCCTGCCAGGTGTTTAAGACCAAGTTGGTCAAAATTCACTTTGTTCATATCTTCTCTTAGAGTCAGTGATCTCAGGATTCCTTAGCAATCATTCTTGGGGACATAGTATGAGAAGTCTCTTTCCTCTTTTAGCCTTCCTGTACCAATTGTGTTATCTGCTAGGATGGGTCAAAGTCTTGCTGACTGTATCAGGATATTTCCCTCTTCAATGACCCTGTTCTTTGCAGAATGTGCACTGATTGGCTGGCTTCCTGTTCTCTAGTATCTCCTTGATCCCCCTGATGAGGAGGCTGGGTGACTCCTTGAAGTTGCAGGGTCCTTAGAGGGGTTCTGTCATTCTCTGGCTCCTTGCTGATTTGAGAGAGCAAGGGCCAGAAAATTGGCTGCTTTTTCCTTGGCCCTTTTACTTCCTTGACTTGGGTCTCCCAACTTTTTGGTTTTGAACATCCAGCAGGCCAGTTTCACCAGTATTAAAAGTGGAAAATATGGGTTATACTTTTACAGTCACCCTATCATTTAATTGAGGTATTAGTACTGAAAAGCAGCATTGCAATCTGTCTGTTCTTTAGGTGATAACTTATTGTCTTAAATTCATTACGGTTGTTCTGTTCGAAGTAGAACTTCTGTAAAATATTAATAGGCAATAGTTATATACTTTTATAAGGAAAATACAAAATGAACACTAGACTATCTTTGGTATCCTATAGCTTCTAGAAAGATCCATATATCTATCAACTCAATTACATACAAGTTTTGTTTTTTTCTTAACTCTTTTACAAGCCTAAATCACTTTTACAGTTTGCCCAAACTTTTACTTAAGTATCACATCCCTTGTTTATTTTGAGATCATAGTAATCTTTACAACAACAACAAAATAAGTCTTTTGAACACAACTTTAAGCTTAATTTTAGCTTACTTTGGAACTCTTCTAACATGGAGAAGGACAAGAGCCAAGCCTTAACTTAGGTGAGGCTGGACTCTTGACAAAGTGTTTATTCCTGAAGCTGATCTGATCTTTGCCTTTCTTTTTTAAAAAAGTATCATTTTACAAAGTTCTCATGAATTGTTTCCTGAGTCTGTCTGAATAGCAGTTAGCATAATACAACATCACATCTGAAACATGAATCAAAGAAAAAAGGCTAAGAGAGTTCTTAACTTTCTTTTTGTGGAAAAAGTGACAAAATGTTTTCATGTTCCACATTGTCAACCTTTGAACAAATCAGGCTCTCCTTATTATCTTCCAAAAGTACATTTAAATTTCCATCCCAGTGTAAAGAGTACCACAAAATTTTATATGTAATTTATTGACAATGGGTTACTTTTATCCAGTTACAAAACATTAACTGACATAAGTAAATACCAACCAAATTTGTTATTTCTATATAAACCTGAGGGTGATTATTGCTACAGATAATTTTAGTTTAGAGAACACCAACCTGGTAAATTGCTCTTCTAAGCTTACATTTAGATGGCTTATATATTTGAAGAACATAAACTCATTTACTATTCAAAGAAGCTAGTAATGGTTAGCATTACAATTGCATAGATGTCCCTATATTAACTAAGTTTAACTTAAAAGTAAAATTTAGAGTCCACATTGTATATGGTAACAATAATCATGAGTCTTCATACTAGCAAAAATCAAAGAATAGCCTTAAGTCTCATATATTTAGGAAACTATTAATAATCAGGAATAGGCTTAGTCAAAGCAAATAGATATAAGCCAGGTCTTCAAATGGCATTGTGGCCCTTCTATGTCAGATACAAAGTATAAAAGAACATTTATTAGTTACCTTGCTAGTAAACCTACATAAACTTTCATTTTATGAACTTACGTAACACTTAGACCAGGCTCAGGCAAACACAATTCTCAGATGTATACTTATCTCTGGTAACATGTATTCAGGGTGTCAACTATATTGTAGTAACCTAAAATAGAAGTTGCTTATTTAACTAGTTATGAAGTAATCATTTAAAAGACTTTAAAAGAGCAGATAAATGTTCTAGACTTTGCTTCATATCATTGCATTAAAATTTGAATAACTTTGACTATGCTAATTACAGCCAATTTAATCACACAAACTTTTTCAGATGTACCTTCACAAACCTTCTGCAACTTATTTAGCCATTCTACACTTGTTTACATCCTTAGTTTTGTCCTCTCTTTCATCTTGGTCATTAGCGCAAGAATATTACTTTATCAGATAAAATACTTCATCATCCAGAAATTTCTTTTACCTTCTAAGACTAAAATATATTTCCATACCTATAACTTTCTTACATTTCTTTTCTAGTTTCAGACCCTCTCTTAAATTCATATTTTGAAATAATCTTTATGAATATTATATGTGCATGTAATTACTCAACAAATTTTATCCCAGGAGAGGACCAGACAATTTGGCATATAGAAAAACTGTACCTTAATCTTTTTCTTCTAGGTTGGATTCAAGGGGTTGGAGCACGGGATATTTTTGAGCCTGACCTGTCTCCCTTATCTTTATTATAATGCCACCAACTTTGAGTTCCCCAATGGTCAACTGTACCCCAAGTCACCTTTCACACCATTTTCTTACACTAGGCATATTGATGGTCAATAGAAGAGGCCCTTTCCATCCTTTTCTTTGGGCATTCTTGAAGATCCCTTTGCGGAGGTTGCCAGCAAAACTTGGGATTGGCTTTAATTTCTACTTTTATTTATTTATTTTTTATTTCTGAGTGCAGTTGTTTATCCTACCAATTTCCTTATGCATTTAGTTTTTTAAATTTTTTTTATAGTTTTAGATGGACAGCATGCCTTTATTTTATTTGTTTATCTTTATGTGATGCTAAGAATTGAACCCAGTGCCTCACACAAGCGCTCTGCCACTGAGCTACAGTCCCAGTGCCTGCATTTAGTTTGATGGGATACTGTTATAGCAAGGATTGCTCTGCCCCAGTGATGGATATCCCTGACTGAATGGCTGCTTTCCCTGTTGTCATTTCTTTTGGTGCCATCCCTAAGTCTGAATTACTTTGTTCCAGTGGTAGGTGTGTGCTCAAGGATAGATAACTCCTTGGGATGGGGAAGAAAGGTATTCCTGTTTCTCCTGAGGTTAGGGAGGAGAAGGGAGAGAGGAAGAGAAATAAACATGTCCCCTTTAAAGTCACAGTGGCAGAGCAGCAAGGGCTATATTCAAAGCATAAAGTAGACCACTGTTACACTATTACCCAATGTTCAGAAGACATTAATACTGCTTCTTATGTTACAATATGTCATCTATCTTAAGCCAGAAGATTTAATATTATATCTTGACAATCCAACCTTTAACAAAACCAATGCCCCTTTTCCTGTGGAGCTGTGGTTTCCGAAGTGCAGGAATTATATTCATAGCTTTATCAGCCACGTTTTTTTCTTTGAATGCTTTCAAGCATTTTGTTAGCATGTAATATCGTTCTTCCTTTAAATATATATCCAGGGGAAATAAAAGATAAATGTGGTCAGAGTTCAGTGACTTCTGGACACTCCTTCTGCTTGCAACATGGTCTTTCTTAGTCATCACCATGACTTGCCTGGATTGCTGAAATCAGCAGTTTCCACCTTTATCCTCCTCTAGTCTGTTTTTAACATAATAGGCATATGCTACCATACTCAGCTTGCCAAGTTTTCAACATCATAATGCCTTTAATTTTTTTTCTTTTAATTTCTCAAATAGAACTAGGGATGTAACTCAGAGGTAGGGCACTTGCCTAACATGCGTGAGGCCCTGGATTCAGTCTCCAGTACCAGGGGTGAAAAATCTAATTAAATAAGAATACTTTTTTCTTTTTTTTTTTGGTACTGGCAATTGAACCTGGGTCACTTTACCACTGAGCTACATTCCCAGCCTTTTCTATTTTTAATTTTGAGACAGGGTATTGCCATGTTGCTGAGGGTCTTGCTAAGTTTCTGAGGCTCGCCTTGGACTTGTGATCCTTCTGCTCAGCCTCCGGAGTCACTGGTATTACAGGCGTGCACCATTGCACCTAGCTAGAATACTTCTTGAGCCACTTAAGAAGTATAGGGATTTGGGTTCGAAAAACCTAATTTAAACTGGTTTAAACAATGAGGACATTTATTGATTCACAAAATAGTGTCCAGACAGTCTTCTGTGCCAGCTTCATCTAGTGGCTGTGCTTTCCTCTCTGTGTGTGAACATCTTCAGAAAGGCACAGTTGTCAGTAGCATTTATTAACTTCACTTCTACCAACAAGAAAGAAGGTAAGCTGGGTGCAGTGACACATACCAATCCTAGCAGCTTGGGAGGCTAAGGCAGGAAGATCATGAGTTCAATGCCAGCCTCAGAAACTCAGCAAGGCCCTAAACAACTTAGTGACACCCTGTCTCGAAATAAAATGTATAAAAAAAAAGGGCTGGGGATGGGGCTTAGTGGTTGAGCGGCCCTGGGTTCAATCCCTGATACCAAAAAAAAAAAAAAAAAGAGAGAGAGAAAGAGAAGGTGGCCTCCAGAGATCAGGAAGAACTTTCCAGTAATCTTTTGCAAACTTCATTTGACATCTTAATATACTTAAATAGGTCAGTCTAATAGCAGTTTCAGGTAAGGGGGAATCATTACCCTTAGACCAAGTTTCTCCACCTCAAAACTATTGTATTTTTGAGTTGGGTAATTCTTTGTGTATGGTACTGTTCTCTGAATGATAGAATGTTCTGGATCTCTAACTGTGATTTCCTCTGTCTGTGACACTCAAAAGTATTTCCAGAGAGGTGGAGAATGTAGCTCAGTGGTAGAGGGCTTGCCTACAGTGGGCCTGAGGTTCCATCCCCAGCACTTGGAGGGAAAAAAAAAAGGAAAGAAAAGAAAGATCTTACTCAGACCCCCCCCCCAACTGAAAATTGATCTAATCTTGCTCTGAGAATCCTACTCCCCATTTAATGTATCTTAGTTTTTTCAAATTTGAATTATGTCTTATAGTTCCACTTCTTTTGGATATATGTCCTCTCATTCAGATTTCCTATTTCACTTTCCATGGATACCATTGGGGATGTGATGATCTGGACTTATGCTTGGAAAGAGTCCTTGTACATACATCCACAGGGCTGTTTGTGTGATTCTCTAACTTATTTATTTTATATTTCATTGATTTTGGTACCAGGGATGCGAGTTACATCCCCAGCCCTTTTTAATTTTGAGACAGGGTCTTGCTAAATTGCCTAGGGCCTCACTAAGTTGATGAGGCTGTCCTGGAACTTGTGATCTTCCTGTGTCAACCTCCTAAACTGCTGGGATTACAGGCATGCACCACCATGCCCAGCCTCTTTTTTTTTTTTTTTTTAAACTTAATTGGTGGTACTGGGGATTGAACCTGGGGTCTCTATCATGCTAGATAAGCACTCTACCACTGATCTAGTAGACTCCTTACCTCTTTTTAAAATTTTATTTTGAGCCAGGATCTTGATAAGTTGCCCAGGTAGGTTTCTGTTCTACTTGCTTCTCTGATGTTTCCAATGTCAAATAAACATTACATTGCTTTGAAATGAGAACCTGTAATAGCCCAGGTTAGAAACCTAAATGGAGTCACACACTAAAGTTTCATGTCACAAAACTGCAAATAAGCTAATTTTTTTTCTTATCTTCTGAGAAATTAGGATGAGAGAGGTAGCAGCCAAATTTCCCAAATAGGGTACTTTCACTTGACAAAGTAGTGAAAGTTTCCTCTACCTTAATCCTTACACAAAGAAGTTATCCTAAAGTGATCTGAAATTTATCCATCAGTTAATTTTTCTATTGTCTATTCCCATCTTACTAAGAACTGTTTTGAAATGATGAATCTGCTTTTTGTTCTTTTGTTTTTGCTTTCTTTATTCTCTGTTTATAAAACTGACCTTTTCTGCTTTGCCCATTGGAACCCTTTTTCTCTTCTGTGGAGTGAAGACTTGCCTGATTTTAGAATAAAAAATAAAGTCATTTAAGATTATTAATCTAAATTGTTGTGGTTTTGTCTTTTAATACCAGTCTCTCTTCATTGCCTTATTGATGATATCTAATGGTGAGTCCATCTCCTGTGCTTTGTTCCTGCTGACAGGGACCCACCTTTCACTTTAATCACAGGTGATTTTCAGTATGGGTGGTCCACTACTTTGCTCCAATTGTGGCTGTCTCCTGGTTACTTTGCCATATGTTTTCCCTTGGCACCACGAAGAACCCAGGAATGCCTGGATTCCTTTCAAGGACACATGAATCTCAAGTGTGCTTTAAATTTGCCAGTTTTGGGCCTGTTCTGCTTGCTATGCCCTGCTATTATTTTTTATAATGCTGAAACCATTCTGTTTCTGTTAGTGGTTAACTTCCCCTAGTTCCAAGCCAGGGTCACATACTCTAAGCTTTTCCTTTGACTATTCTTACTCTCAAATATGGTAGAATGTTCTGTTTCCTTTCCTGTTGCCTTGGAGACCACCCTGCCTTTCCCTTCACTTCCACTTCCAAGTCTCAGCCTTCCTTTTTCTGAATACCCAACTCCCAACATTTTTGTAGATAACATAGCTGTGTGCCTCAAACTTTCACTATGGAGAATGGTTCTCTCATCTCTATAGTCATCAAATGTAGGCCTCCACTTCTCTCTGGCTATCCACGCCCTGCTTCCAGAACTTTCCCTAGAGATCTCTGCATTCACTGGGTCACGAAGCTGAGTATATCCCTGGGCCTCAGGGCTACCTACATAGCTTCTAGTCCTCTCATTGCTGGCTTACTGGGGGTCATCCTGGGGCTTTCAGACTCATCCCTAGGCTATCTTCATCTTTTTTTTTTTTTTAAAGAATGGAAAAGGTATCTTTAATTCTTTTTTGTAAGATTTATTTTAGTGTTACCAGTGTGTTATTTTTTTTTTAATTTTTAAAACATTTTGTCAGTGAATGATAGCAGGACTCATCATGCATCTTTGTACATGCACATAAGATAATGTCATTAATCTCATTTCCCATACCTTCCCTTTCTCTCCTTTCCTCCCTCACCATTATCTGCTTGCTCTAGTGAAGTACCTCTAATTCCTAAAAGTCTGAGCTTCAGCCAGTCAATGTGGGTTGAAACCGAGGAAGCTAGATTTCAAGGATCAGACGAGGCCAGGAAAATTTAAAACAAAGGAACGAAAAGAAAACTTGGACCAGTTTTGAAATCTGATAGACTTTGAAATTAGGATAAAGAGGCCACCAGATTACATTGACAGTGCACAAATTTTACAATAACTTAAGAAAGCACCAGTATTTTAAGACTCTATTTTAGAAAATAATATAAACTCTCAATGAATTAATTGTTTGTAATGAAAGATGTTATGTCATGTGTGTGTAAGATTGAGATGGCAGTGTACCTCCTTTCATTGTATAGAATTGATACTAAATTAATCCCTGTTAAACTGGAGATTGTGATCTCCCAGCCCTCATCTAGGTATAGTCAGCCATGTGGTATAAGTCACTGTCACCAATAAGGACATAAACAGGCACATTGTGTGGCTGTCTTCATCTTTATAGACCTAACCCCCAGAAGAAGCCAGCAAGCTGCTGCCTTGCACCTGACTAATAATTCTAGCATAGATGGAATGCCTCCTTTAGCACTTGACATTGGGCTATGATGGGAAGAAATCAGGGCTGCATTCTTCAGAGGAAAAAAATCTATCTCCTTAAAAAGGAGATCAAGCTGGTGTTAAATAGACCTGTTACCATGTTGATTATGCAAAGACAGGAGAGGGAGGAAGGAAACTTCTATATGTAGTAACACTGGGCGGAGCACTAAGTATATGTGACTGGTTATCTTTTTGCAATCTACAATTTATGAGTTAAATTAGAAAGTGGAGGCTCGTTGAAATTAAATTATAGGCAGTGGTACTATGGCTTCACTGGTCCTCTTTAAGACTTGAGGAGGTTTGTTTCATTTGGGGGGGGGGAGGTACTGAGAATTGAACCTAAGGGCTATTTACAACTGAGCTACATCCCCAGCCCTTTTGATTTCTTATTTTGAGACAGGGTCTCACTAAATTGCTAAGTCTGGTCTCCCCCTGCCTCAGCCTCCCTACTTGCTGGGAATACAGGCCTGTATCCCCACACCCGACTGACCAAGATCTTTATGACTTCAAAGTTTATACTCTTTTTACTAGACCACAGGCTAAGCTCTTGTCCCCTGATGGAGGTCTTATACTCCAAAGAGCCACTGTTTCTTTCTGAATTCTCTTTTTCTGAGACTATTCTCAGAAACTAAGACTCAGTAGGCTCAAACCATAGTTCCAGTAGTGTTTCTGCTTTGATCTTGGGCAAGTTGTCTTCCCTCCTGGGCCTCAGCTTCCCTGTCTGTAAGGAAAAGATAGAAATATAAAGTCAAAATCTTCTGTTCTTGATTTATCATGAATAGTTTAATTCTTCTTACTGAGAAACTTATCTTGGGGTGTGTTGGTCAAATACCTGACAAGAACAGCTTAGAGGAGGAAGTTTATTTGGCCTCGTGGTTTCAGAGGTCTCAAGTCTATAGATGGCTGACTCTTTTCCTTTGGGCTCAAGATGAGACAGCACATTATAGGAGAAGGGCTCAGTAGAGGAAAGCTGCTCAGTTCATGGTAGCATCAGGAAGCAGAGAGACCGGGCTGCAGAGAAAATGTACCCTTCCAAGGTACATCCCCAGTGACCCACCTCCTCCAGCCATGCCCAACCTGCCTACTGTTACCACCCATTTATTCTACACAAACTGATTAGGTAATAGCTCACAATCAATCCAAACATTTTACCTCCAAACATACCTGCATTAATACTGGAGCTTTGGGGGAACACCTTGTATCCAAACCATAACATGGGTGAATATTTTTATAAGGCTTTATTTATTTTTGCAGTACTTTGATTTGAATACAGAATCTCATGCATGCTAGACAAGGCTCTACCACAGAGCTACCCTAGCCCTTTGTGAGACAGGGTCTTCCTAAGTTGCTGGCCTTGAGCTTGACATCCTTCTCCCTCGGCCTTCTGAGTAGATGGGATTACATATAGGCATTCATCACCACTCAGCTTTATGATTTTTATGTTTTTATTGATCATTTTAAATTAAAAATTTAATGAGATTAATTTTTAAAGATTTGGATTTAAATTTCTAAAATTTAGAAATTAAAATTTTGTATATTTTGTATTTTTTGTTTCTATTTTGTCATGTTCTTTTGAAGTGGATTCTTGCTGTATTCCCCAGGCTAGCTTTGAACTCCTGGGCTCAAGTGATCCTCCTGCTTTATCCTCCGAGTATGCACAATACCATGCATTCCTTTTATTTTTGTTTTATTTTTAGATTTTATTTTATGGTACTAGGGATTAAATCCAGGGGCCTTCTACTGTTGAGCTACATCCCCAGCCCTTTTTAAAATTTTTTTTGAGTCATGGTCTTGTTAAGTTTCCCACACTGACCTCGAATTTGTGAGGCTTCTGCTTCAGCCTGCTTGGTTGCTGGGATTACAGACATGCATCATCACACCTGGCTCTTGTTGTTATTTGGTCCTGGAGATTGAACCCAAGGGTGCTTTACCACTGAGCTATATCCTCAGTACTTTTTATTTTGACACATGTTCTTGCTAAGTTTCCAAGGCTCGCCTTGAATTTGCAATCCTCCAGCCTCAAGCCCTTGGGTTGCTGAGATTACAGACTTTCTGCTTACTTTTCACTTTTTCCTAGTATCTGTTCCCACAAAAGGCAATGTCCCTATATTAATAGTATTCCAGGCATTAGAGAACCAGGGTCAGAATTACAAGACTTTAAGGCTACTTGCTTTCTTCTCCCTTCAAAATACACACACACACACACACACACACACACACGCACGCACGCGCGCGCGCGCATGCACACACACACGCACACACACACACACACACACACCCTGCCTTTGAAAGAGTCATTATTCAAAATATAGCCTGAAAGCTGTCTAGGCTGTAAGCAATTGATAATTAAGATGACTGCAATATACGTTTAATTTGTGTGAGAATGGGGAAGGGATCAGTTGTAGTATCAAGATAGAGTACTCTGTGAACTGGTCCTGAAGCCAGCAAATAGATTGCAAAGGTTTATGCAACAAGAGGACTAATGACATTCTCTCTTCCAGAAAAGTGGAGTGACTCAGTATACAGATGTTCCACCTACCCCAGCGTTTGTAATTATGAACTGGCTGGCGGCAGTATGCGAGTAGTCTTTGAATCATCTGTTTTTATAGTTTCTTTGGCTGCTACTCTTTTTAGAACAATCTGGGACATGTCAACTGAAAAATGCACCAATTGCTTACAAGGAGAAAAGGACTTGGTATAGGGGTGCGGACACAGGGAGTTCTTAACCTGCCTCTACTCAGAATGGTGGGTAGGGAGAATGACCTGATGATTCTCAGAGAAATATATGACTTCTGATGAATCCAGATATCTGGAGAACATGAAATGAAAATACTAGCCTAGGTGTATACAAAATGAGGCAAGCTTCAGGAAGAAATGCTGATATCACTTTAATAAATACTAACACAAAGGAGATAAAACTAGAAAGACCTGAATTTGTGGGTAGCCTCATGAAGTAAAAATAAGCTGGGCGCCTATTGCAAAATCATTTTTGTTGCAGTGTGTGCCCCAGGAATGTGCCATTCCTGGTAATCTTTTCCATTTGCATGTGAGCATCTTGTTCCAGCAGTCTTTGGATTCAAATGAACAGAACTTTGGGTTGAGTGAGTTCTTGGTCATCCTGGCACAGAACAGGCTATGTATTAGTCAGCTTTCTGTGACTATAACAAAATACCTGAGATATTAAACTTAGAAAAGGTTTACTTTGGTTTAAAGTTTTGGAGGTCCGTGTTCATGTTTGGTTGGCCTATTGCTTTGAACCTGTAGTGGCAAATCATGGTGGAAGTACATGGCAGAGGGAAACTACTTACCTAATGACCAAAAAGCAAGAAAGAGAGGGAGAGTGCTGGATCCCACAAACCCTCCCCCGCCTTTTTAAAAATATTTTTTAGTTGTCAAGGGACCTTTATTTTATTTATTTATATGCAGCGCTTAGATTGAACCCAGTGCCTCACACATGCTAGGCAAATGCTCTCCCATGAGCCACAATCCCAGCCCCCCACAGTCCCTCTTAAAGGGGATTCCCCAGGGACCTAAAGACTTCCCACTAGTCCCTACCTCTTAAGTTTTTTACCTCCCAGTATGTCAACCTGGGGACCAAGCCTTTAACACTTGGGCTTTGGGGGAACATTGCAGATCCAGAGTATAGTAGGCTATATGTGTATCTTTTAATTTGTCAAGTATATCTTTGTCAAAGTAGTCTATAAAGTACTGCTTTGGTTTCTGTGTTGAATCAAAGGCCCATATTTTAGAGCTGTGATCCTTACCTTGGTGCTCTTGGAAGGTGGTGGTAGCTTTAAGATAGGGCCTAGTGGGAGGTTTGTGGGTCATCAAAGGTGTGCTCTTGAAAGGGGTTGGTGGGACCCTGGTTTCTATCCCTTTCTTTTGCTTCTTGGCCTTGAGATGAATGGTTTTGCTCTGCCATTTACTCCACGGTATTGTGACTCCACAGGACAAAACAAAGGTAAACAAAAACCAAAAAACAACAACAAAAAAAAAAAACAGGACAGATCAACCATGGAATGAAACCTCCCAAGACCTTGAGACAAATTAAAACTTTTCTCTTGGTAAGTTGGCTACCTCAGGAAAGCTGACTATAGGCACTAAGCCGTGGTTTCCACTCTAGTCTTCTGTTATCTCCTCCATTTCCTGAGGTTATGGGAAGCATGGTGAAGCAATACAGTAGTCCCCCTTGTCTGTGATTGTCTTTCTGTGGTTTCTATTATCTGCAGTTAACAGGAATCATATGGCTTAATGGTTTTCTGGTCTGTTATGATAGTGCATGCCTGTATTCACACTGATCTAGGACATTGAGGCAAGAGGATCGCAAATTTGAGGCCATCCTGGGCAACTTAGTATGACCTTGTCTCAAAATAAAAATAAAAAGGGCTGGGCTGTAAAGTTTAGTGGTAGAACACCTCTCTACCACTAAACTGGGTACAATCTCCGGTACCACAAAAAAAAAAAAAAAAAAAAAGATGCTTCATCTTATATTGTCAAAAGCTTGTTAGTAACATGGTGCTCTATAACCAATGCCTATACCACTCACCATCTTATTGTGAAAGCAATATATCATCACACATCACAAGGTTAAGTAGTGTAGCACAATAATATATGTGTTTTAGTACTGGGGATTGAACTCAGGGGCACTGAACCACTGAGCCACATCCCCAACCCTATTTTGTATTTTATTTAGAGACAGAGTCTCACTGTTTGCTTAGTACCTCACTTTTGCTGAGCTGGCTTTGAACTCATGATCCTCTTGAGCCACTGGGATTACAGGTGTGTGCTACTGCACCTGGCCACGATAACATTTTGAGAAAGGGACCATATTCCCACGACTTTTATTATAGTACATTGTTGTTATTGTTCTGTTGTTAGCATTAATCTCTTACTGAGCTTAATTTATATTAAACTTTATAATAGGTATATATATATATATATATATATATATATATATATATATATATAGAAAAAACATAGCTAGTATAGTGTTTAGTACATCCATGATTTTAGGTATCCACTGGAGGTTTTGGAATATATCCTTTGTGGATAAAGGGAGAGTATCATATTATAGAATTTTAGAGTTAAAAAAGTGCTTCAGAAGAATGCTGTCAAATATCAAATGCAGCTTTATAGACTTGTGATGATTAGGAAATTATCCTCAATTTGGACAAGCTGAAAGACAAAGTAAGAAGGTAGCAAGTCCCTCACCACCCCCAGCATGGGAATAAAACTCAGGGGCAGTCAATGAGTTATATCCCTAGCCCTTTTATTTTTTATTTTGAGACAGGGCCTCGTTAAGTTGCTGAGGCTGTCCTTAAACTTGTGATCCTCCTGCCTCAGCCTTCTGTGTGGCAAGGATTACAGACATGTGTTGTCACGCCTGGAAAGGTACCAGATTTATAAAGTGAAATGTGTTCAATTGAAAAGATTTTGTTTTTGAATGTTTGTCCTACTTTTCTTATTTTTAGAAGGTAATTTCATAATGATTCAGGGAATGAAGCTTGTATGCTCTACTCTTTTGTTTCTGCCCACTTTCTGCCAGTAGAGGACAGGCTCAAGATCCCCTACAGCTTGGTTTATACCCAAAGGGACATAAAACAGCATACTACAGTGATGCAGCCACATCAGTGTTTATAGCAGTACAATTCATAATAGCTAAATTGTGGAAACCACCTAGATGCCCTTCAATAGATGAATGGATAAAGAAACTGTGGTATATATACACAATGGAATATTACTCAGCATTAAAAGAGAATGAAATTATGGCATTAGCAGGAAAATGGATGGAGTTGGAGAATATCATGCTAAGTGAAGTAAGCCAATCCCAAAAAACCAAAGGCCAAATGTTTTCTCTGATAAGTGGATGCTGATCCATAATTGGTGGGTGGGGGGAGGAATGAAGGAACTTTGGATAGGGCAAAAGGGAGGGAGGGGAAGGGAGAGGGCACAGGGATAGGAAAGATGGTAGAATGAGATGGACATTATTACCCTAGGTGACATGTATGAAGAGACAAATGGCGTGGCTACTTTGTGTACAACCAGAGAATTGAAAAATTGTGCTCCATTAGTGTACTATGAATCAAAATGCATTCTGCTGACATGTATAACAAATTAGAACAGATAAATTTTTTAAAAAAGATCCCATCCAGAAGGGGATTGATACATTCTTTTCCCCCAGTAGAACCCTAAATTCAGGCCAGCTCTTGTGAAACTGAGATGAGAAAAGCTTTCGGTTTCCAGGCCAGAAGGAGCTTCCTATTTCTGAAAATTCGAAACCAAATTCAGTCAGGTCCATCCCATGAGGATGATCTGACTCATACCAGACACAGGCAGAGGAGGTGGAACTGAAAGAGAATTTTTGATTTGCTGATTTCCCAGCATAGTCTGCTTACCTAACAAAGATAAGGACAGGTACAGTGAACTCTAGGACCTTGATCACCAGCGAACTATACACTCTTAACATCAACCATCACCAATCAGAAGAGGTGTTTCTCTTCCTTTGAGATGGCAAAAATGTAGAGTGAAAGCTCTCCTCCCAGTGTAGGTCTGGAGGGAGATCCTCTGTGGACCTCTTCCTCCGTGGAACATAGGAGAGTTATGTAAACTTAATATTTGCTGAAAGAGACTTGAGTTACCTTAATGATTTCGTTGTAATCTGCCAGCATTGGACAGTTAAGGGTTGGAGAAAATAATAAAAAGTGTTCTTAGTTCCACAATTGGACTAAGTAAGAATATTTATTTATTTATTTATTTATTTATTTATTTATTTATTTATACATACTGGGAATTGAACTCAGGGGCACTCAATCACTGAGCCACATCCCTAGCCCTATTTTGTATTTTATTTAGAGACAGGGTCTCACTGAGTTGCTTAGTACCTTGCAAAGTTGCTGAGGCTGGCTTTGAACTCGAGATCCTCCTGTATCAGCTGGGATTACAGGCATGCACTACTGCGCCCCACAAGAATCTTTATTTTTTATTAAAGAGAAAAGTTTAAAATTGTGATTAAAATATACTAATATTAAATTTACCATCTTAACCATTTTTAAGTGCATGTTTCAGTGGCTTAAGTACATTTACATTGTTGTATAATTATCATTATCATGTATCTCCAGAACTTTTTCCATCTTCCAAAACTGAAACTCTATATATTTATTAAACAGCAGCTCCCCATTCCCTTATCCCTCAGCTCCTGTCAACACCCATTCTTCTGTAGGTCTTTATGAATGTGCTACTCTAAGCAACTCATATAAGTGGAATCATGTAATATCTATCTTTTTGTGACTGGCTTATAGTCCTCAAGCTGGGTGCCATGTCACATGCCTGTAATCCCAGCGGCTCGGGAGGCTGAGATAGGAGGATCCGAGTTCAAAGCCAGCCTCAGCAACTTAGCAAGGCACTAAGCAACTCAGTGAGACCCTTTCTCTAAGTAAAATACAAAAAAGGGCTAAGGATGTGGCCCTGAGTTCAATCCCTGGTACCAAAAAAAAAAAAAAAAGATATTGTCCTCAAGATTCAGCCATGTTGTAGCATGTGTCAGAATTTCCTTCCTATTTAAGGCTGAATAATATTCTAATATATGATTAATTGTTCTCTAAGGAATTTGGACTAGGTCTTCAGTGTGTCAGGTGGTACATTTGCACTCATAGTTTTGATATTATATTAAGATTTTTTGGAAGTTCTAGCATCTTCTTGGATACAGGGTTGGGTAGTATATGAAAACGTGATACATTTTCTGCCACAGCTGAGAAACAGGTATAGCAAACAAAAATTAAGGCCTATCTGTTCAGTCATTAGGTACCATTTCAATAGTTCCTCTTTTAGGATCCATTCTATTGGAAACTTGAATGTGGATTGTACCTTTGACCACTGGCTTGTTCCTGAAAATACCTCAAGTGCCACTGGGATCCACAACCCTCCATCTGAAACACTCATTGTTTTGATTTGGGTATGGTTTGAGTGTATCCCCAAGGATTTCATGTCATGTAATCTTGATCCCCAATGTGGTGGTATCGAGGTGGTGGAACATTTAAGAGGTGGGGCCTAGTAGAAGATGGTTAAGTATTAGGGGTACTACCCTTGGGAGGGTTTAATGCCTTTTTCAGGGGTGAATTACTTTTCTTGGAAATGGGTTGTTTGGCTCTCTCTCCACTTACATTTGGTACTGGGAATTAAACTTTGGGGCATTTACCAGAGAGCTACATCCCTAACCCTTTTTATTTTGAGACAGGATATTGCAAATTGCTGAAGTTGGCCTTGAACTTGTGATTGTGATCCTCCTGCCTCAGCCTTCTGAGTTGCTGGAATTATAAGCATGTGCCACTGCATCTGTCTCTGTGTGTTATTTCTTCACTGATTGGAACCAGGGTGGGAGAAAGAGTGAGTGAATAGTCATAGTTATTTTCTTTAACGTATTTCAAATAAAAAAGAGTTGGCAAGACCATTCATCTCCAAAATTAAAGTCAGTTTCAAACTGATCTAGGGTCTTATCATCTGGAATCCTTTACCTTAAAGATCACATAGAGGGTCTGGGATTGTCGCTCAGTGATAGATCACTTGCTTAGCACTTGTGAGGTACTGGGTTTGATTCTCAGCATTATATGTAAATTAAAATAAAGGTTCATTGACAACTAAAAAAATTTTTAAAAAATCACATAGAATTATGTGACCATTTTACAAGTACATAATATAAAATCGAGAGTTTACTTAATTTGCTTATAAACCAAACTATGTTCTATCAAACCTTTCAGAGGCTCCCAGGTGAGATCTTCAACCTTTGCTCCATTTACCCTCTAGGATTTATTTCAGATTCCATGATGGTCTGGTGGAAGATGAGAAGAGACCCAAAGTCCTGAACTGGCTCATCTCTCATTTCCATGGCAGGGGGAGGCTGAGAAGGGCAGGGGAAATTATGAATCCAGTTTTCCACCAAAAAACAGTGCAGCTAAGGATACTACTTGGTTTCACCTATGCCAAAAGAATATTTGGAGTACCAAATAAGGTAAAGAAGGTGTAGATACTTGAGAAACTGTCTTCTTTAAACTTTTCTATGTCAACCCCCCATTTTTTCTTTTCCTTTTCCTTTTTTTGGAGTGCAGGTGCTCTATAAATGAGCTACTCCTTCAGGCCTTTTTATTATGAGACAAGGTCTTTTTGTTGCCCAGGCTAACCTTGAACTTGCCATCTTCCTACCTTAGCCTCCCTAGTGCTGGGATTATAAGTGTGTGCCATCACTTCTTGCTTCTCTATTCCTTTTTAAAATATTTCAGTAGATTCTCATGTAATCTTCTTGTTCTTAAGTAATTATTTTTCTTTTGAACCCTGTAGCACTTTACCACTGAGCTACACCCCTCAGCCTATTTTATTGTTTTATTTTGAAACAGAGTATCCCTAAATTGCTGAGTCTCATGAGTTGCTGAAGCTAGCCTTTGAATTTAGGATCATCCTGCTGCATTCTGCCTCAGGCTTCTAAGTCACTGGGATTACAGGTATGTGTCAACATGCCTAGCTTCATAAATAATTTTTTTTCATAAGTAATTTTTGAAAATGCAGTTTTCTTTAAAAATATTTTTCATTAGTGCCTTATAGTTATACATAACATTGTGGTTCATTTTTTAAACGTTTTTTTTTTCAGTTGTTGATGGACCTCTTTACTTTATTCATTTATTTATATTCTGTGCTGAGAATTGAACCCAGTGCCTCACACCTGCTAGGTAAGTGTTCTGCCACTGAGCTACAACCTCAGCCCTCATTTTGACATAATTTTACAAGTATAAAATATAAGTTGCTCTAATTCAATCCCCAGTACTTTCCTTTTTCTTCTCTCCTCCCTTGCTTTGTTCCCTTTCCTTTACACTGCAGACCTTTCTTCTGTACAGTTTTTTAAAAAAATTAGTACATTATGGATATACATTTATTAATTCTTGGTACAATTCCCTGAACTTTAGGGATCCTATTGAGAAAGTTGTTGCCTTGGCCTGTGTGTTGGAGTGTTGAGCCAACACATTTTCTTCTAGCAGTGGCAGAGTTTCTGATCTACTTCTTAGGTCTTTGATCCGCTTTGATCCAGTTTCATTTTTCTACATATGGCTCTCCATTTGTTCAAAAGACTATCTTTTCTTCAGGGTATGTTTTTGGCAATTTTGTCAAGTATGAGATGACTGTATCTATGTGTATTTGTCTCTGTGTCTTCTATTATCTTTCATTGATCTTCGTGTCTGTTTTGGTGCCAATACTATGCTTTTTTATTATTATAACTCTAGTATAATTTGAAATATGATATTATGATGCCTCCAGCATTGCTCTTGCTCAGGACTGCTTTGGCTATTCTGGGTCTCCTGTCCTTTCTAATGAATTTTAGAACTGTTTCTTCTAGTTCTTTTCAGTAGTGAGGATTGAACAAAGGCGTTCTATCACTAAGTTACAAACCCAGCTCTTTTTTGAGTTTATTTTGAGACTGTGTGTGTGGGGGGGTCATTCTTTTTTAAATTTTTAAAAAATTTTTGTTCTTAAAGTTATACATGACAGTAGAGTATAATTTGACTTATTTATACAAACATGGAGTCCATCTTATTCTAATCAGGATCCCAGCCTTGTGCTTGTACATGATGAAGGAATTCATTATAGTGTATTAATTTAATTTTTTAAAAATTAGTTCTCATTAGTTATACATGATAGTAGAAATCTCTTTGATTCCTTGTACAAAAATGGAGCAGAAAGTTTTACTTCTCTGGTTGTACATGAAGTAGAGTCACAGCATTAGTGCAATCATACATGTACTTAGAGTAATGATTCGAACTGTGGTGTATTCATATATGTACATAGGAAAGTTAGGTCCGAATAATTTCACCATCTGTCCTCCCTCCCTTCCCTTAATTCCCCTGAGACAGTATCTTACTAGTTGCTGAGGGTCTTGCTAAGTTGCTGAGGCTCATCTTGAACTTGTGATCCTTCTGCCTCAGCCTCCTGAATTCAGGAGGTTACAGGCATGCACCACCAAATCAGATTATTTTTTCTAGTTCTGTAAGAAATGTCATTGGTATTTTGATGGGAACTGCATTGAATCTTCATAATGTTTTTGTTAGTATGACCATTTTGATGGTCATGCAGTATTAATAATCCTGCCTATCTAAGAACATGGGATATCTTTCCATCTTCTAATGTCTTCTTCAATTTCTTTCTTCAGTGTTAATTTATTTTTCAGCAGATTTATTGGAGTATAGGGAAACGATTTATATATTTATCTTGTACCCTGCTACTTTGTTTGTCAGCTTAAGAAGACTTCTGGTGGAGTTTTTTGGGGTCTTCTAAATAATGGGATCATCTCATCAGCAAATTGATAATTTGTCATCTTATTTTCCTATTTATATCCCTTTAATTTCCTTCTCTTGTCTGATCATTCTGGCTAGAGTTTTAAGGATTATGTTGAATAGGAGTGGTGAGAATGGATATTCTTGTCTTGTTCCTGTTTTAGAAGAAATGCTTTAAGTTTTTTCTTTGTTCAGAATGATGTTAGCTTTGTGTTTGTTATATGTAGTCCTAAAATGTTGAGGTAAGTTTTTTCTATCCCTATTTTCTCTAGTTTTAAACATGAATGGGTGCTATACTTAATTCTTCTAATGCTTTTTCTGTATCTATTGAGATGATAATGTGATTCTTCCAATTATTATTTTGTGGTAAATTATGTTGATTTGCATATGTTGAAATAACCTTGCATCCCTAGGATGAAATCCATTCTTAACATAATTTTTAAAATTAGTTCTTTATAATTTTTTTTGTTTATACAAGGTTCAGGATTCAGAAATTCATAGTGATTACTTTATCTGAATCAGGAATTGGGAATCTAAGAAGATATCTATAATAATTTACAAGGAGTAAAATGTAGGGAAAGGAGAAATTTATTATAGTTATTTGGCTGGGGATGTAGCCCAATGGTAGAGTGCATGCTTATTATGTGCAAGTCCCTTGGTTAAATTCCTAGCCCCACAAAACAAATAAGGTTGTCACTAGATAGAAGGAAAAACAACCTTTTAACATTTGGTATTATTGCTTTATAACATCATTTCCAAGATTTAGCTTGAACTGAGAATCTATATCTTGTCTAGTTTGCTTTATTGTTTCTAAAGAGTTATTCCATTCTATCATTACATGGTTCCTAGCAAAATATCTATTTTTGATGTACGGTATTGTGTAATATCTAGTCATACAATGTCTAGTATTATATGGTTTCTCTGTTTTTGATAAACAGAATCAATGTTTATTTGAGTGAAATGGTAGTAAAAGAAAGGAAGCAACATTGCCCTTCTCCTTAGGATACAAACAACAACAACAAAATACCAAAGGTCATGAATGTGATCTTTTACTGTGAATGAAATATGAAGCCTGTGAATGAAAATGTGTTCTGCCTTTGGGAAAAGGTATCAGTCACAGAGCAAAGGAAATTATGCAAATATACATTCTCTTCATTTATTCCTTTTGTTCATTTATTTCATAAATATTTATTAAGTGCTTGTCATATGTATGCCAGGCTTTACTCTGTTCAAGTGGGGGTAAATTCAGTGAACAAAACGGGAAAGAACTAGGTGTGTGGTGCAATGCCTATAATCCCAGTGACAAGGGAGGCTGAGGCACGTGGATAGCAAGTTCAAAGCCAGCCTTGGCAACTTAGAGAAAGCCTGTCTCAAAAAATAAAAAAGGCTGGGGATGTGGCCAAGTGGTTAAGCACTGCTGGATTGAATCCCTGTAAAAACAAACAAACAAATCAGGAAAGACTAAAAGATAAAAATTTTTGCCTTTCTGTAGGTTGCATTCCAGCAGGGATAGGGAAAATCCGGCAATGAATAGAAAGCTTAACAAATAAGCCAATTAGATGGTAGGAAAGGAGATGCTGAGTACTGGGGAATGAACAGAGCAGGGTAGGGGACATCAGGACCACTGCACACGTGTGCAACTCTGGGTGTTGGGGGAATGGGATGTGGGGTTAGGGACCACTGAAGGTTTCTAAACTGCTCAAGATGCAAGTGCATAGATCTGGCCAGGTGTCCCTCTTGAGGTTAAAAAATGAACAACAATTGACAAGCCCACCCCTTTGTTCTCTCCATTTCTTTCTTTTCCTTCTTTTTACCTTGTTTCTTCTATTAATTGATATTTGCCCTTCCTTCCTTCCTCAAATGATTTCTTTATAATTTTTCTTTCTTTTGCGCTCTCTCTCCCTTTCTTTCTTTCTTTGCTTCCTTCCTTCCTTCTTACTTAAACCTAGGGCCTCACAAACATGCTACTACTGAGCTGCACCCCCAATCCGTCCCTTGTATTTCATTGTCATTATACCTTCTTGAGTCTCTGAATTAGTTTTTTTTTTTTTGTGTGTGTGTGTGTATTGGGGACTGAACACAGAGGTACTTTTTAATTTTTTATTTTGAGACAGGATCTTGCTAAGTTGCTGAGGCTGGCTTTGAACTTGCAATCCCCTGCCTCAGCCTCTGGAAACACTGGGATTATAGGCATGAACCAACATGCCCAGCTGTATTAGTCTATTTTCTATTACAGAAAAAAATCACTGAGACTGTGTTACTTGTAAATAAAGGAGGTTTATTTAGCTCACAATTCTGGTGGCTGGAGGGTCCAAACAGCATGGTGCCAGTCTCTTGGCAAGGACCTCCTAGCTATGTCACAACATTGTAGAGAAAGGAAAAGGGAACCTTCTGTAAGCACAAGAGATTACATGGAAAGATAGGAAATCAGAGATTTTGGGGTCAGATTTATCCTTTTTATAATAACTTTTATAATGATAATCTCACAAAAACTGGTCTTTTGTGAGAACTATGTTAATATCTTCTAAGGATCATGACCTAACAATCTCCCATGAGGTCCCACCTCTTAAAAGTTCCCACC